TCTGACCCTCTGTCTCTGCTTTCCGCCGCTCTCTTCTGTCTCTCCGTCTGTCTCTGCGTCTGTCTGCAACTCTTTATTCCTCTACATCATTCTCTGCCTCTTTTCTCTCATTGTGCAGCTGTCTCCTTGCATCTCTCTGTCCCACCTGCATCTCCGTCTCTGTCCCCTTGTGTGTCGTGTCTGTCTCTCCCTGTGTCTCTTTGTCCCACCCTGTACCTCTCTCCCTCTCCCTCCGCTCATATTCTCTTTCTCTCGGTGCCTCTCTCTCTGTCTCACCGCAAAGCCCTCCCGTTCCCAGCACTGTCCCTCTGTCCCCAGGACCTTCCCAGGGCGCTCTCAGGGCCCTGACTCACTCATCCCTGCCAGGCTGGTCTGGCCTGACAGGCGTGGCACTGATTCCTGTCCTTCCAGCGGAGCCCTGGGGGCAGGGAGTGGGGAGCATGAGGAAGGTGGGCAGCCTCAGCTCGCCTGAGGCTCCACTTCCCTGCACATTTCAGGCATCAACATCTACGAGCCAGCGCCCCCTACTGGTCCCACCCAGAAGCCCCTGGAGGCCCTGGGTAAGCTATTGGTGGCTGGCCGGGTGGGGAGGGGGTGGTCCTGGAGAATAGGTGCATTCTAATCCTTCACTCCTCCACCTGCCAGGCAATTTCCGTGGGTGGCACATTAGGACTGAGAATCTCCAGCAGAACCTCAGGTGAGTGGCCAGGACCCGTGTGGTCTGAGTGTGACTCCCTGCTCTCACCTTCCTTGCTGTGGGACCTGGAGTAACTCTCTTTGACTCTCTGGGCCCCAGTCTCCTGCTCTGTAAACAGAGTTCGTCATAAGAGAGAACATATGGCAAAGGATCTGACCAGGACTAGCTTGCACATAGTAGGTGGTCAATAAATAGCAGCTAATACTGTTTCTGCGCTCAGCCTTTCTGTGGGAGGTGGAGGCTCAGCCAGGCCACCAGCTGTTCTCGATTAAACCAGGCCCTGCTTCTTCACAGAGGGTGAGACGGAGTGACTCAGGGGCTCAGAGTTATGCATCCCAGGGTTGGGCTCCCAGCTCTGCCATTTCTTTTCTTCTTAATCTTGGCAAATTACTTCCCTTAGTGAGCCTCGGTTTCCAGTTTCCCCATCTGCAGCCCGGGGTTCAGAATGCATCACCCTTAGAGGAGCTTGTGCAAGCTGAGTCTGCGAGGTGCTGAGTGAGGGCTCAGGGCCTCTATGTGGGTGCCCTTGACATCACTTCGATGTCAGGATGCCTGCCATGATCAGGGTGTCCTGCTTCTGGGGGATGCCTGAGAATCCCAGCAAGTGACAGACCTCACCTCCTTCATGCCCTCTCTCACAGCTGGACTGTGAAGCAGCAGTGTGTGGACCTTCTGGCCGAGGGCTTGTGGGAGGAGCTGCTAGATGATGAACAGCCACACATCACGGTCATGGACTGGTACGTGCCTCTGCCCAGCCAGCCTGACCAGCCAGGTGGCACACAGGGTCTCCTCAAAGGGCAAGCCTCACCCTGTCCTGCCGCTGCAGGATCCAGCCCTGCCCACCTCTCTGGCCCCTTCTCTCTGATTCTCAGTTGTTCAAACATGCCAGCCCAGAGGCTGTTCCTTCTTCCCTGGATCCTGGCCACCCTCTTTTCTAGAAACAAATTCCTCCCTCTCCTTTAAGAGTCGGTGCACATGGCTCCACCAGGAAGCGTTCCCTGACCACTGCCAAACTGGGTCAGATGCATTATGTTCCAGTGCCCCAGATGTCCCGCACCCCAGCCCTGACCATTCCTGATTGTCACTGCCTGGTGACATGTCTGCCTCCCCCACTGGACCATGAATCCCATGAAGGCAGGGCAGGGGGCTGTCGTGGTCACTGCTGTGTGGCCAGCACCACCCATCCCCAGTGCACAGAGTGGATGCCAGTGAGTGTGTGTTGAATGGTGACAGAGCCAGGGGTTGGAGCTGGGAGCTTGGGGCAGTGGTGGCAGCTGATGGCCTGGCCCCCACCCCCAGGTATGAGGACAGCCGGCTGGATGTGTGTGTGTATGAGCTGCACGTCTGGCTGCTGGCAGCTGACCGCCGCACAGTCATTGCACAGCACCATGTGGCCCCCCCGGACGTCTGGGAGAGGCCCCCCCGGCCGCTGGGTCCAGGTGAGGCTCCCTACTGCGGCCACCACCCATACCCACGTGGTCATGTCCCAAGACTTCGCAGAGGGAGGAGGGAGGAGAGCAGGATTTCTGGGTCCCTAATAAGGACTTCTTCCTGACGCCGGGGCTGCCACAGGTGTCCCACATGTTCCGCCAGTATGGCCCCGGCGTGCGCTTTGTCCATTTCCTGCACAAGTCCAAGAACCGGCTGGAGCATGGTGGGCTGCGGCGGACCAGGGTGACCGACTCCTCCGTGTCTGTACAGTTCAGGGAGTGACGGGCTAACTCCGGGCCCATGCTGACCCCTTGTCTCACCCATACACCCCTTGAAACCTCCCTGAGCCGTTAGCATCTCTTTGTCTCCTTATCACTTCTGGCCTCTTAGCATCTCTCTGACCCCACAGCAGCTCCCTGGCCCTTAGAAGTCCCTAACCCTTAGCACCTCCTTGTCCCTGAAGCGCCACCATGTTCCCTTAGCACCTCCCTGCTCCCTTGATACCCTCATGACCCGTCAGCTGCTCCAGGATCACTTATCACCTCCTACACCCCTTAATCCTGCCTGGCCCTTGGTTTCTCATTTGACATCTCCACACATCTTTGAATGTCTGACTCTCTGGCATTTTCTCCGCCCTCTCTGAGTACCACGAGGGTAGTGGCACTTCTTCCAGTGCTTGATGGATGGTAGGGGCTCAATAAATCTTTGTTGGCTGAAATAAATAAATACACGTGCCCAAGGATGCTGACTATTTCCTTGCTGTTTGCTCCTTCGAACTTGACCAAGTTCATTTCCCACTTGTACGTCCTCTAATCCTTGATCCTCCAGCCTCTCACAACCCCTGAACCTTTTACACCTCCCTTGACCTCTGATCTCTTCACTTATCCCCAATGTACGACCTCCAAGCATCTCTGCTTACCTCTTCTGCCATATCTCTTAACTCTCAGAATCTCCCCCAATTCCCTTCCTCCTTCCAACCCCAGCTGTCAGCCCCCTAGAGTTGTGCCCCTACCTCTCTCCTCTCCAAGACCCCTCATTTCTTTTCTCTAGTTCCTTCTCTACCTCCTCCCAAACCCAGCTATCCATCAAGGGCCCTTACCCTTGGGAGAAGTAGGGGAACATAGGTTGAAAAGTCGAATTTGCAGAAAGATGCAAATTTGAACTAAAGTGGTCTCCAGGTGTTGGGGAGGGAGGCATTGAAAGTATTTAACAACCCATAAGTCCTGGGCTGTGGCCAAATCACAAAACAGACCCTGGCCCTAGCCTGGGGTAGGGTCCTTGAAGGCCTCCTTCTGTCCCATGCATGAATTCTGAGGGAATCCAGAGGTCCCGGGCAGGCCTGAAGAATCGGGGAGCTTTTAGAGAAGGGCTGTCCACCAAAAGTGTGGGAAGCAGTTAGACGTTTAACAATCTGCATGTCACATGTGTCCTGTGGGGGGGGGTGTGCACACACCTAAATCCATGTCAGGACCCATGTCCCTGGCATGGGCTGACCCAGGCCTCACCACCATGCTCTCCTCACCATCCCACCCTGTGTTCATGTGGACTCGGGTCCCGAGAACAGTAGACAGCAGACCGGGATGACTTACAAGGGCTGTATTACAAGGAAGGCAGGGTGGGGGCAGGCAGAAAGCTCTCTTCTCTTGGATCTTGGGGACTTCAGCAGATGCCACGGACAAGGCCAGGTGAGGGCCTCAGCAATTTGTGGAGGATGGAGGTGACAGACCTCTAAGGTATCAGTTGCAACTGCAACAGAATCAAAAATTATTACTACAGGATGCCAGGGGCTCAGAGACTTAAAGTGTGGAGAGTTCTAAGCCTGAGAAGGGGTGGGGAGCTGGAGCTGGGCTTGAAGTTCAGGAGCTAGGCATCCTGGCCTGGGAGTTTGGGCCTGGGGGCTCCTGGAGCTCTTGGGGATAGAGGGGCAGCTGGGGGTGGTTTTAGAGGGCATTCTGGCTAGATCAAGGGCCGCGAAGTCTGTGAGCGTGGATATGTGAGTCCAGGGTGGGTTCAGGGGCCTCCAAAGTTGGGTCTGGGGGCTTCAGAACCTTCACAGGGGCTCTGGAACTGGTTTCTCCGGCCACAGCCACGGTTGCACTAGAAGGCCTAGGTGGGTGGAGCATGAGGGCTAGATAGGATATTCCTAGACTTAGTTCTGGGGCCTTGAGTTCTGGGTCAAATGTAGAATCTGGAAGTTCCAGAGACAGGTCTGAGAGTTCTGGGATCTGATGACTTGGGGGTGGGGAAGAACTGGTTTTGGTTCTGAGGGCTTCAGGGTGAGCTAGGCTTGGGGACTCCGGAGTTAGTCTGCACTCCCTGGAAAGTGCAGCTGCCAGTAGGTAGGCAGGTGGGGGATTCAGGAAGGTTGGAGGGGGCACTCCCAGAATGGAGGCAGGAGGGTTGGGTCAGCTTCTGAGTCTGGGAATCTCAGAGTTGGGTCTGGGAGATCCAAGGGGCATGGGCTTGGGGGGAGGTGGGGGTTGGGGTGAGGAGAAGGGGGATCTCCAGGACTGGTTCTAAGGATGCCCAATTTGGGTCAAAGGTTCAGGGGGCGGGGCGGGGGGTGCGGTCTGGAGCCCCGGTGCTGGGTTGGGAGCTGGGGAAGCAGATGTGCGGACTAGGAGACACTGGCGGGGCGGGGTCCGGACGGGCGCGGGCGCGCACCTGCAGTAGAGCGCGGAGATGGCGTTGGACCAGTCCCCGAAGATGCCGCGGCGGTACTCTTCCAGGCGCGGGTAGGTGCCGGCCGAGAACTTGCGCTTCTTGCCGGCCTTGCCGCGAATGGACCACACGGTGAGCTCGCAGCGCTGGCCCACCACGAGCGACGAGATGACGTTCGTCCAGTCAGAGGGCAGGTAGGGCAGGTCGGCGCCCGGCTGCAACGCCAGCTCGGCGCCGCCGCAGCAGTTCTCGTAGTAGGGGTCGCTCTTGTCGTAGAGCTTGGCGCACGTGCGCGTCCCGTTGGCGCTCTTGAGGTCGGCGGGCACCGGGCAGGCGCCTCGGACGCCGGGTCCGGCCACCAGGGCCAGGGCCAGGGCCAGCAGCAGTGGGCACAGCGGGGACATGGTGACACTGCGAAGCGACGCCCCCATGTCCTTTTATGCATCTGATCCGTGGGAAAGGAGAAGCTGCGAGATAAGGACTTGGGGAGGGAAGGGGAGGGCGCCCCTCTCCCAGGAGCAGGGAGACCGTATTAAGCAGGTCAAAAACCCAGACGGAAGAGTACAAGACAGACTTATTTGTAGCAAATTAGCAGCTTAAGATTTTATGTGGCAAATAGCAGGACCAGTGACTTGCAATACAAAGGGCAGCATAGGATTAATAGCTCTAGGTAGGAAGCGCTCTTAAAAATTGACAAGGAATGAAACAACCCCCTTCCAAACAAGGAGAGACCCAGCGAGGGGAGAGGGGGAGGGGGGCTGGGCTTCCAGGCTGGGCAGGTCTCCTACCCGGACACAGGACCTTGGGAAAGGAAAAGCTGGAGATAAGGAGAGAGAGACCCTGGCGGGGAAGGGAGAGGAGGGGTGGAGATGGGGAGGGAGACCCTGTTCCCACCTCCCCCGAACCAGGAGATCCAGACCAAGGTTGAGATGTTGATAGATATATTTGCATAACAAAAACCATTGCGAGGTACAAAAGGCTTGGGGAAAAATTTGCAACACTTGGGGCCATGTAGAATTAGTAGCTATAATATATAAAGAGGGCTTACAAATTGACAAGATATCAAGATCCCCTCTTCCAAGGACAAGCCAAAGAGGGAGAGACTGAGGAAAGAGGAAACTGCCACCCCCTTATTCCCACTCCCAAGGAGCCAGGAGATTTTCCTAACTAAGTTTGGATAACTTGAATCTATAAAATAAATAAAGATCCTATTGAGCTGTATAAAACTTAAACTTTTTGTAATAGCAACAAAGAACAAACAAAATCCTCATGGGGGAAAACAGACAATTCTTGTACAGTGAGTGCTTACTAATCAGCAGGCAGCAGTGACACAAGTCTAAGGCAAAATTAAGCAGCTGTACAGGAATGTTAGGGAGGCTGGGACCTCAGGGAGATACAGGGCCCCTGGCATCTGGTTGTGTGACCAAGGCCCTTTAGAGACTTTTTGGAGTTCCTGGCCTCCTGCCAGATGAGCACAGGGTCAAAAGTGTGGGTGAGCTGATCAGACAGACAGTGGTTCAAGTCTGTGGCTCCCTGGGTGAGTCCAAGTCTGGGCCTCAGTTTCCTCATCTGTAAAATGGGCGAATTTTCTTCCTACACTGTAGGATTGTTGTGAAGAGTACAAGGGATAGTAGAAAGTATGGGGGCTAAAGGAACAGCCTGTGGAGCCAGGCTGTCTGGAGCCAGATCCCAGCTCCTCCACAAGCTTTTGCACAGGATTCCATCTTAGGGCCTCATGGAGACAACGAGGGTATCCACCTCAGAACACTGGTGTAAGGAGTATGAATTAATCCACATAACCGTGCTGAGAATAGGGCCCTTGCTTAGCGCCATACAAGCATCTGCCATATTATTATTATGAGAGCCCTTAGTGCAGTGCCTGGCACACAATAAGGGCTCGATAAACGTAAACCAGAAAAACACATCTGCTCTTGACCACGGCCACTCAGCTGACCCTGATCCCTCCTGGGCCCCCAGATGCCTTGGCCAGGGTAAGGTTAAGAGGTTAAGAGCCAAAGGCTGGGAACACTTGAAACTAGGTTCACATTTTGACTCTGTCACCTTGCTGAATGACCTTGGGCAAGTGAACTCACCTCTCTGAGCTTTTCCTCCTACCTTCAAGGGGATACTAGAAAATGATCATCAAAATAGAAAAGGATAATAGAAAATTACTGTATCAAGGCATTTATAACTAATAGAATATTAGGAACCATTCACATAATTGTGACATAAATATAATATAAATACTGCATGTGAGATATTGAATAAATGCAACTGTATAAATATATTTATAAATAACAGTATAAATATAATATTAAAAACAATATGAATATAAAGCATGAAGTCCAGTATGTGCTCAATAAGCAGGAATTACTAGGACTGTTCTTAATACTTTCTTTTCCCTCTTTACAGAGGGACTGGGGATTGAACCCAGAACCTCGTGCGTGCCAAGCACACGCTCTACCACTGACCTATACCCCGCACCCTATTAAGACTATTCTTATAATGGCTCCGAGACCCTAGACCCTGACCTGGGCCTGCCTCAGACCAGACCTGGATCCTTCTCCCTCCTTTCCTCTTGTGACCTTGTGAAATCTAATCTCCAGCCGCTAACTTCCCAGCTGGCCTCCTTAACCTCAGGGGCACAGAGTTCCCACCATCCCAGCTGTGCAAGGGCATCTGGACTCAGGGATGGACACAGTCACCTAGAACCCCAGCCACTCAGGAGGGCCATGAGTTTCTGATATGGAGAGCGACATGGGATAGTGAGGAGACCCCGACAGAGAGCCAGACCATGGACAGGAACACAGGACCCATGGGGCCAGAGCACACAGCCAGTGTCAGAGAGAACCCATGGAGACCCAGGACATGGGCACAGCATCCCCAACCCTGGGACAGACACACGGGCAGTGGGGTAGGGACACTCCTTCACACGGTCAGCCGCTGATGATCACTGATTCTCACTGGTGGATCCTAGAGGGCTACACATATTGAATGTAGACACATGCTTGTGTCCCAGAGAAACACAGTCCCAGGCAATGCCCTACTCCCTGTAGAATCAGACACCCACAGCCACCAAGAAGCTCCCAGCCCTCAACCGCTACCCCCCTACACTCCATGAAATCTCAAATCACAAACCCCCATGCCCACATCTAACATGCCCATATGAGCACCCACCAGGCATCTTCATCCAGAAACAATTTCCTCACTGTTAATAAGACAAACTGGACAAATAGTAGAAAAATAAACATCTCCTTATTACACTTTTTTTTCTTCAAATGGAAGAATGTCCTTGAGGAACCCGTGAACCTTTTGAGAAAGTCAGAAGGTAAACCAACAATTCGAACACAATGTGAAAAGAGTTATAAAGGACTCTAGGAATACAGTGGGAAGAATAGCAGGCTTATAAAAAAAAATCCACCAATATATTTTGATTCATGTAATAGGAAAAAACCCTCTTTTTAGATGTCACACCTTGATTTGACATTTTTCATTAGACCATAAAAAAGGAGATTGGTATACATGTGAAATTGTCACTGGAAGTTTTTGTCTCCATCAAGGTGGAACCAAAACATAAATAACATGATAGGTGACACATAAGTTAAATGAAAATGCTAAGTCTGGTGGAAGGGTATAGCTCAGGGGTAGAGCACAAGCTTAGCATGCACAAGGTCCTGGGTTCAATCTCCAGTACCTCCATTTTCAAAAATTTTTTAAAAAAGAAAATACTAAATCTGCTGCATAAATACAGGAAAATCACATCAGCAATTAAGTTCACACTAGATCACGGGAATGCATTACACTTCTGTAAGAATAGGTCACTGACTGGGATCATTTCTATATAATCCTTTTTTTTTTAATGTTTTTTTGAGGAGAGTTAATTAGGTGTTTTTTTTTTTTAATGGAGGTACTAGGGATTGAATCCAGGACCGCGTGCATGCGCTCTACCACTGAGCTCTACCCTTCCAACCCCTGCCTGCCCCTCCTCAACAGTTTGAGTTTTAAATGTTCTCTTGGTAACTTGATGCTGGAGTTTGAGAACCACTAGGTTAGGGCTTTGGCCTCCTAACACTTCATATGTCACTGGTTGTTTATTACATCTAGAATTTCTATATTGATACCTCAATTTGCTCAGCTCCTATAAAGTTTATTTTACATAAATTTCCAAACAAATTATTAAACAAAATTCCATTAGCAATAGAATACGGAACATCTCTGGGGATCCCAGATGCAGCTGCGTAAGACAGGGCCTGGTACCCAAATGCTGGAAATGAACTTGAATCTTCCCCAAAACAGACAAAAAGTCAGTCATCATCTAACTTCAAGACGTGGCTGAAGACCATTTTCTCAGCTACATCTGCTCCAGGTGAGGCGCCTATCTGTAAGGCTCCCTGGGTCCCACGACCCCTTTGTGGTCTAGGCCAGAGCTACCCAACCTTCACTGGGCTGCAAATTACTTGAGGGTGAGGTGGGGCGGGGAGGGTCCTGTTAAGATGCAGATCCCAGTTCAGCAGGTCTGGAGTAGGATTTCGGTTCCGCCATTTCCTACCAGCTCCCAGGTGATTTCAGGCTGCTGGGGGCCATTGAGTAAGGCTGACACGCCCAGCTGAGACAGATACAGCAAGAAGACAGCTCCAAACAGGCCACCTGCCACCAGGAGGGCGTGGCGGGAATTCAGAAGTGAGCCAGGCCCCGGGGGCGGGGGGAGGGGGCGGGAAGAGGTCGGGGAACACGGGATGGTTGAAGCTGGAAGAAAAATTCAAATGACATTTCGGAAGGAAGCTTGTGGCAGAAGCAGAGTCTGAAATTCCCGAGGGCTGCAGCAGCTTGGGCTCGAGAGCCCCGGCAGGTGGGCCGTGGAAAGCCTACTCACCCCGGGGCGCGGACGGTTTCGCGGGCGCCCGCCGCGTCGGGGGAGGCTGGTCGCACTCGCAAGGTGGCGCCAAAGCACAGAGATTCCTGTCGCGGGCTGGGGCGTGCTGGGGCCTGGGTTCAAATCCCCACTCTGCCACTTACGTGCTGCGCGAACCCGGAAACTCGCTCAACCTCCCTGAACTTCTGTGTCCTCGTGTGTGAAGTGGAGACAATACACACAAAAGCTAGTTACCTCTTCTAGTGTTGAGGCTTGTAAGGAACATTTCCTTTCTTTTTATTTTATTGTATTATATAATTTTTAGAGGTTACAGAGATCAGAAGAGAAGAAATAAAATTATATGCAGTTGACATAATTGTCTACATAGAACAATGCCCACAGTAGAACTTAATGACTTTTTGGTGACAAATCTCTCCCAGCCAATCTCTACCCTGACAATAGTCATCCCAGGTTTAGAACCACGGGAGGGTTGAGTGAATGAACCACAAACACAAGTTTGACCCACATCCCTAAGAATCTTCACAGATACAGACCCTAGGTCCATGATAGAGCCATTGTCCCACTGAT